CACAGATTTTGTTTTGACGATTTGATGTTAGTTTGATGTTCTGCTTTTCAACTGAGCTGAGAAGGCAGAAAAGCAATTATTGCTGCTTAATGTAGTGCAGTGGGCTAAATCAGGGTCACACTGTGTTTCTTGGTAGTCTTAAACAAATCTACACCTCATACACATGGTTATGGGCTTAAAAAAAAGAAGACACCTGTACCATGTCAGATATAGAGTTGAAATGTGTTACATTTTGAGTTTGCATCCCAATATTACACTTTATATACAGTACCAGTCAAAAGAATGCCAAGAGTGTGCAAAGCTGTCATCAAGGCAAAGGGTGGCTATTTGAAGAATCTCAAATATAAAATATACAGTGGGGAGAACAAGTATTTGATACACTGCTGATTTTGCAGGTTTTCCTACTTACAAAGCATGTAGAGGTCTGTAATTTTTATCATAGGTATACTTCAACTGTGAGAGACGGAATCTAAAACAAAAATCCAGAAAATCACATTGTATGATTTTTAAGTAATTAATTTGCATTTTATTGCATGACATAAGTATTTGAAACATCAGAAAAGCAAAACTTAATATTTGGTACAGAAACCTTTGTTTGCAATTACAGAGATCATACGTTTCCTGTAGGTCTTGACCAGGTTTGCACACACTCCTCCATACAGACCTTCTCCAGATCCTTCAGGTTTCGGGGCTGTCGCTGGGCAATACGGACTTTCAGCTCCCTCCAAAGATTTTCTATTGGGTTCAGGTCTGGAGACTGGCTAGGCCACTCCAGGACCTTGAGATGCTTCTTACGGAGCCACAACTTAGTTGCCCTGGCTGTGTGTTTCGGGTCATTGTCATGCTGGAAGACCCAGCCCCGACCCATCTTCAATGCTCTTACTGAGGGAAGGAGGTTGTTGGCCAAGATCTCGCAACACCCTCAATACGGTGCAGTCGTCCTGTCCCCTTTGCAGAAAAGCATCCCTAAAGAATGATGTTTCCACCTCCATGCTTCACGGTTGGGATGGTGTTCTTGGGGTTGTACTCATCCTTCTTCTTCCTCCAAGAAGTTTAGAGTGGAGTTTAGACCAAAAAGCTCTATTTTTGTCTCATCAGACCACATGACCTCCCATTCCTCCTCTGGATCATCCAGATGGTCATTGGCAAACTTCAGACGGGCCTGGACATGCGCTGGCTTGAGCAGGGGGACCTTGCGTGTGCTGCAGGATTTTAATCCATGACGGCGTAATGTGTTACTAATGGTTTTCTTTGAGACTGTGGTCCCAGCTCTCTTCAGGTCATTGACCAGGTCCTGCCGTGTAGTTCTGGGCTGATCCCTCACCTTCCTCATGATCATTGATGCCCCACAAGGTGAGATCTTGCATGGAGCCCCAGACAGAGGGTGATTGACCGTCATCTTGAACTTCTTCCATTTTCTAATAATTGCGCCAACAGTTGTTGCCTTCTCACCAAGCTGCTTGCCTATTGTCCTGTAGCCCATCCCAGCCTTGTGCAGGTCTACACTTTTATCCCTGATGTTCTTACACAGCTCTCTGGTCTTGGCCATTGTGGAGAGGTTGGAGTCTGTTTGATTGAGTGTGTGGACAGGTGTCTTTTATACAGGTAACGAGTTCAAACAGGTGCAGTTAATACAGGTAATGAGTGGAGAACAGGAGGGCTTCTTAAAGAAAAACTAACAGGTCTGTGAGAGCCGGAATTCTTACTGGTTGGTAGGTGATCAAATACTTATGTCATGCAATAAAATGCAAATTAATTACTTAAAAATCATACAATGTGATTTTCTGGATTTTTGTTTTAGATTCTGTCTCTCACAGTTGAAGTGTACCTATGATAAATATTACAGACCTCTACATGCTTTGTAAGTAGGAAAACCTGCAAAATCGGCAGTGTATCAAATACTTGTTCTCCCCACTGTATATATAACATTTTTTTTGGTTACTACATGATTCCATATGTGTTCTTTCATAGTTTTGATGTCTTCACTATTATTCTACAATGTAGAAAATAGTAAAAATAAAGAAAACCCTTGAATGAGTAGGTGTGTCCAAACTTTTGACTGGTACTGTACATCACAGAAGACTGAACTATAACAAAACCGTTTGACATAGAAACACTGGATAAAAAAAATATATATATATATATATATATATATATATATATATATATATATATAATGTTGATTAATTATGTAATTAAGAAAAGTATTAATAACATTCCACCTATGAGGCCACTAGAGGGCGACTTGATCAGTTGACTTCAGGAAAGGGCTACATCTGAAATGGGAAGAATTCTATCCATCTGATGTTTCGATCTCTATAGGGGAGAGGTGAGGAGCCTATAGCAGCTCATCTGTAGTACGGGTCCTTGAGAGTCTGTGAGGGGGGCTTACCCAGACACATGCTCCCAATTAGTTGGCCTTCTTTATGTAAATGCTTTATAAATTATCCCCAATGCTTGGGGATTAGGCGCTCATAAGGAGAGTTTGCACATCAATAAACAGCCAGGTTGTGCATGGAGAATGGATCACAGACAGACATGGGAAAAGGAGGGGGAGGGTTATGGGGATGGGCCCAGGGTGGGGTGGGGTGGGGTGGAGGAGACATTATGGAATGGGAGGGTGTCTGTTTAGGGAGCTCTAGCTAAGTTTACAAATATGGCAACATATTTTATTTTGGATTCCTAGGGGGGCTCTATGGATGAAGGACATCTAGTAAGGATTCAGGAAGACATCTTAATTTGGATAATAGTTAGAAAAAATGGACATACTTTTGTTGGTACTCAATAGTTTGCCATTGGGTGAGAAAGAGTATATGGTGTATGCGATGGGCGATTTAGATAAGTAACATGACAGTGAGAGGGATTAGGTTCTATATTCATATCCATATTGATGAAAGTGGAAGTGGGATGTACACAAAGATGATGATCTTCAGCACTTTGAGTTGATCTCCATGAATAGGCTATTATGTAATTCAAGTCAATTTAAATAACTTTTATTTCCTGAGAGGGAACTTCATGCGTGGTGATGGATTGGTACATGTAAGACACATAACACAATGTAAGTATTTACTGAAATGTTATGTTGTGGGGAGTAGTCAGGAACTCTAGGATAAATTACTGAACATTCTAAAAGCTATTACTTTAAGGAAATGCCCAGATTGTGAAGGAACCAATTATTGAGTGACAGCTGTTATGTTTGAACTCTTACTGCTACCTCACACATCCACAGCCCACGCCAATGACACAAGCACACACACACACACACACACACACACACACACACGCGCGCGCACAGGGAAGAATTGTTTGTTTTGGAGATAGCAGATTAGCTGTTGAAGCCCTGCTTCTCAGATGCAGGTGGGTCCTGTGCAGTGGCAGTCGGTGCCGTTCATGATGAGAGAGGACGATTCTTTTTTTATGAGCATGGCCTTATTTCTTTTACAGCATATTGGATGACTGTCATTCATATTCCATTCACCCAGCTCAATGTAACATCGATAGGTTTAGGCTACTACATGATACTCAAATGTTCCCTATACCCATCATGAGGTTGCTACAACCTAGCCTATGAATGAAAGTTTACAACGTAGGTGCACAGGTCAAGAGAAATTTGAGTAATCAGTGTGACAGACATTGACACATTCAATGCCGCCTTGCACAATCTTGCCTGAGACTTATGTTTTGAGTCATGTCATAGCTGAAAGCCAGCCTTCAAGCTAGTGATGCCATACTGTATCTGTGTGTTTCCGTTGCTGGCACAAAGTATTCGCTATAACCAAAGGCTGTTTTTATCTGCCTACAAATCACACAAGACAGCATGAGGGGGGGATCTTTCATATGTGTGCATCTGTGTGACTGACACGTGCTCAGCACCTATGTGTTTCTGTCACTCAGAGAAGAGCCTGCAGATCATAGGTACATGTCATACACTTCAATGTGTTCAGGTAATGTGGAGTAGCAATCCCTCGCACTCTTCTCTCATCACCCTGGCTGGGGTTTGGATTTTCTCTTCCCGTCTTCGTGGAGAGATGATGAGAACTTATAACTTAAAAGAAAGAACTTGAATGGAGAACTTTGAAACAAAGACGACCAAAGCGCAGTACGACGTCACCTATTGCTCGTTCCCCACACTCCCGACTCCCACCCCCTTGGAGATTCTCGCAGAGCTATAGTATAGAGATGGCAGACAGGTGGTATAAAGCCGCACCTCAATGCTGGAGAAGAGGAGCTGCTTCATTCAGCCCTGTTTCTCTTAACCAGCCTTCAAGCCTGGGCTGCGTCCCAACTGGCCCCCTATTCAGTGCACTACTATATAGAGGGAATAGGGTGCCATTTGGGACGCATCCCCAGTTAACGGGGGGGGGGGGGGGGGGTCCAACGCTACAGAACACTCTACAGAAATGCATTATGTAGAACAAACCTGATTATCTGCCATGTAATAGAATAGGGTGATCGTGTCAGGTGCTCTATGCATTACATTTCCATCTGCACCGTTCTGAACATTTCACCTCTCTACAGCGCAGAAGCCAGTAAGAGACAAAGAACCACTCGACCACCATTTTGTCTTACTACCGCTACTAAAACACTCGCTCTTTTGAAACAAAACTCTCCATTTAAAAGGGTTGCTTAAATGTTTATACCATATCACAATCAATGTCTTTCCAAAAATAATTTTGATCTTGTTTGGAATATTTTATGGTAATTAGTGCTTTTAAGTACCTGGGATAATTAACAGTAATTTATACAGGTAGTGTCTTTACACCTATTAACGTCTCTAAAGACTTACTGATAAAGTAGCTGACAATTGATCACTTCCACACAAGTCTGACATATTTGACGTTCTTGTCCACGAGTTAGAATTTTCAAATGTGCTCCCAAGTGCTGTTCTACTTGCGACTTTTGCATATAATTTTTTTGAAATTGTAAAAAAATGTGAACGGTTTCAACAGTGAGGTTTGAAACATCAAGGTCCTCAAGCTTTCCATGTTCGTTTTTGACAGCTTAGGGAATCTTCTGCATCTAGGAGCTCTTCATCAATAGGCCTGGTGAGGAAGAAATGGTGGATTCAGAAGCTGGCTGATCCTGTAGTAGCCTGGTCCCAGATCTGTTTGCGCTATCATGTCAACTTCACTGGTGTACCACTCACCCCCGCAGCCCCCGCAAGGTGGGGGGGGCCCACAGGCTCTTTTTCCCCCCTGGAGTCCCTCCCCCTCCTTGGAGTCACCCTCCCCCCCCCCCCCCCCCCCTCTCCCTGGAGTCCCCCCCAGATAGCAAATGAACATGTCATAAGCCATGGCAAAAACATTTAGAATTCCAGTAAATTGGCTGAAAAACTTCAGCATCATGGCAAAATGTGTAGAATAGTCACAGAGGTTCTCCACACTACCAAAGCTGACTCTTTCTCCTCTGTTCTCATCCTCCTAGATCTATCCGCTGCCTTCGACACCGTGAACCATCAGATCCTCCTCTCATCCCTCTCATGGCTGGGTGTCACAGGCTCTGCACACTCTTGGATTGCATCCTACCTGGCAGGCCGCTCCTACCAGGTGACATGGAGAGGATCTGTGTCTGCACCACGTACTCTCACTACTGGTGTCCCCCAAGGCTCGGTTCTAGGCCCTCTCCTCTTCTCTCTATAAGTCACTCGGCTCCATCATATCCTGGCATGGTCTCTCCTATCATTGCTATGCGGATGAAACACACATCAACTTTTCTCCATCCCCCCCTTCTGACACCCAGGTGGCGACACGCATCTCTGCGTCCCTGGCAGATATCTCAACTTGGATGTCGGCCCACCACCTCAAGCTCAACCTCGACAAGACGGAGCTGCTCTTCCTCCTGGGGAAGGCCTGCCCGCTCAAAAGACCTCTCCATCACGGTTGACAACTCCACAGTATCGCCCTCCCAGAGTGCAAAGAACCTTGGCGTGACCCTGGACAACACTCTGTCGTTCTCTGCAAACATCAAACCAGTGACTCGCTCCTGCAGGTTCATGTTCTACAACATCTGTAGACTATGACCCTACCTCACACAGGAAGCAGCGCAGGTCCTAATCCAGGCGCTTGTCCTCTCCCATCTGGACTACTGCAACTCGCTGTGGCTGGGCTCCCCGCTTGTGCCAGCAAACCCCTGCAATTTATCCAGAAAGCTGCAGCCTGCCTGGTTTTCAACCATCCCAAGTTCTCTCATGTCACCCCGCTCCTCCGCACACTCCACTGGCTTCCAGTCGAAGTTTGCATCCACAACAACAACCATGGTGCTTAACTACGGAACAGCAAGAGGAACTGCCCCTCCCTACCTTCAGGCTATGCTCAAACCCTACACCCCAACTCGAGCACTCTGTTCTGCCACCTCAGGTCTCTTGGCCCTCCCACCCCTACGGGAAGGCAGCTCACGCTCAGCCCAGTCCAAGCTTGGTCTTTTACCTGTGATATGTGGTTGTCCCACCTAGCTATCTTAAGATGAATGCACTAACTGTAAGTTGATCTGGATAAGAGCATCAGCTAAATGACTCAAATGTAAATGTACAATTATTAGCTATAAAACTGTACATTTTTCACTCTGCCCCATGGCAATAGGTGTAGAATTGCAGGAAATTAGCTTTAAAGATGCCAAATTCTCTCAGCCTCATTGCAGAATTATATGAGATTAGCTGTAAAACTGCAGATTTTTCTCTCTGTCCCATGGTAAAATGTGTAGAATTGCAAGAGATTAGCTATAAAACATACTTTTTTACCCCCAGTACCAGTCAAAAGTTTGGACACACCTACTCATTCAAGGGTTTTTCTTTATTTTTTTACTATTTTCTACATTGTAGAATAATAGTGAAGACATCAAAACTATGAAATAACACACATGGAATCATGTAGTAACCCAAAAAGTGTTAAACAAATCAAAATATACTTTATATTTGAGATTCTTCAAAGTAGCCACCCTTTGCCTTGATGACAGCTTTGCACACTTTTGCCATTCTCTCAACCAGCTTCATGAGGAATGCTTTTCCAACCGTCTTGAAGGAGTTCCCACATATGCTGAGCACTTGTTGGCTGCTTTTCCTTTATCTGCGGTCCAACTCATCCCAAACCATCTCAATGGGGTTGAGGTCGGGTGATTGTGGAGGTCAGGTCATCTGATGCAGCACTCCATCACTCTCCTTCTTGGTCAAATAGCCTTTACACAGCCTGGAGGTGTGTTTTGGGTCATTGTCCTGTTGAAAAACAAATGATAGTCCCACTAAGCGCAAACCAGATGGGATGGCGTATCGCTGCAGAATGCTGTGGTAGCCATGCTGGTTAAGTGTGCCTTGAATTCTAAATACATCACTGACAGAGTCACCAGCAAAGCACCCCCACACCATCACACCTCCCCCTCCATGCTTCACGGTGGGAACCACACATGCAGAGATCATCCGTTCACCTACTCTGCATCTCACAAAGACACGGCGGTTGGCAGATTTCCACTGGTCTAATGTCCATTGCTTGTGTTTCTTGGCCCAAGCAAGTCTCTTCTTCTTATTGGTGTCCTTTAGTAGTGGTTTCTTTGCAGCAATTCGACTATGAAGGCCTGATTCACGCAGTCTCCTCTGAACAGTTGATGTTGAGATGTGTCTTGAACTCTGTGAAGCATTTATTTGGGCTGCAATCTGAGGTGCAGTTAACTATAATTAACTTATCCTCTGCAGCAGAGGTAACTCTGGGTCTTCCTTTCCAGTGGCGGTACTCATGAGAGCCAGTTTCATCATAGAGCTTGATGGTTTTTGTGACTGCACTTGAACAAACGTTCAAAGTTCTTGAAATTTCCCGGATTGACTGACCTTCATGTCTTAAAGTAATGATGGACTGTCGTTTCTCTTTGCTTATTTGAGCTGTTCTTGCCATAATACGGACTTGGTCTTTTACCAAATATGGCTATCTTCTGTATACCAACCCTATTTTGTCACAACACAACTGATTGGCTCAAACGCATTAAGAAGGAAAGAAATTCCACAAATTAACTTTTAACAAGGCACACCTGTTAATTGAAATGCATTAAAGGTGACTACCTCATGAAGCTGGTCCATCCAGGATGGAGGAGTCTCAGAAGGTAGGGGGTGTGCAAAGTGGCTATCCTGCATCACTCATCAAGGCAAAGGGTGGCTACTTTGAAGAATCTCAAATATAAAATATACTTATATTTGATTAACACCTTTTTGGTTACTACATGATCCCATATGTGTTATTTCATAGTTTTGATGTCTTCACTATTATTCTACAATGTAGAAAATAGTACAAATAAAGAAAAACTCTGGAATGAGTAGGGTGTCCAAACGTTTCACTGGTACTGTATGTAGCACCCAAAGATTCTAGCTTTAAGGAGAATACTGTCCTGTTTTTCTGTCTGTTACCTACAGCCAGCGCTTGGGAAGACCAAGTCTAAAGGGTTGGCATGTCTTGGACCTGACTTTGTGTACGGAACTGTCCACGACCATCCAGGACGGAGGAGTCTCAGAAGGTAGGGGGTGTGCAAAGTGGCTATCCTGCATCACTCAATTGGGTGTTAGCCTACCCGAAATCATGACTATTATTATGAATCCTCCTTTGCAGCCCCTGTGGTCCATTCTTTACTTTAGCCCCAGACTAAGCATTGATAGGTGAGTGGAACCCCTCCACAGCACACAATAAAATTTAAAAAAACTCCACAGCACATGGTAAAAATGATCTTGGATATTATTCAATGTGTCTGTCAGGCACACACACGCTGGCTGCACTGGAGAGGGCTGGATTGTACCCCATATGGCTAACTATTTCACTACTTAGGGAATAGGGTGCCATTTGGGATATAACCCATGTGTCCCCATTACCGTCAGCCCTGATGTCACAGTGTGTTTGGTTGAGAAAGCGTCCCCTCAGGCAGCCGGCCCTCCCTGTCACTCTCCCTCTTCTCACCAGCTAAACTGTGCATGGCCTCCTCCTCGTCCTCAACTTCCGTCAGCGGACAGACGCTGGGGAATGTCAAACTCTCTCCTGAACCCCCACCAAACCAACCCTCGAACCCCCCTCCAGGCCCTCGCCACCCACACCCAGTGGGAACGTCTCCCGATCGGGCTCGACTGTCAATCGTGAGCCGCTCTAAGTGTTTAAACACTCAACTCTCTCAAATTAAACCCCCCCCCCCCCCTTAGATCTGTCACTACCCACTAGACAGAGAGCGCTCTTTTAAAAATGTTGTTAAAAAAACAGTGTGAATTTCAATAATTGTGACAAGGATAACAAAGGCACACTGTCAGCGACGGTGGTAACGACACCTGGGGAACACACCTCTATCTCGTCACCGAGACAGAGATGACTGAGAGAGGGAGTCAAGCGCCATATGAAGATGTCACCGTCTCGCAACTAATCAAAACCCCTCTGATGGAAATTGGTGTTGCAATGAGCTGCTTCACAGAGAACAGTCTTGTTCCTACTCTTTACACAGCTATAAATATTTCAGGAAAGACATTATCTACTGTACGTCAGCGATTGATGTATCTTTGCATAGTTGTAGCCCTGTAGACGCCACCCAGCTTGCACATTTGGTTCCTTGAATGTTGTGGGAACGTATGTTTTTGGTTTTCCATTGGTTGTGGGAAGGAAGCCATACGTTTCCTGACTGGTAAAACTGAAGGTTTCTAAACGTTCTGAGAACAGAAGTGAACATTTAGCCTGTTCTGGGAACGTTTTACTCTGGTTCCTTTAAAGTTTTCCTGGGAGGTTTTATGAAATCTCTGAGATCAGAAATTGAAGGTTATTTGGAGGTCTTTGAATAAAACTTTCACTGAATGTTTCAATAAGACTTTTAATAACACTGCTTGCTTATTTTGGGTCAACTTTTTTTTTAGAACTCCATGCACAGATAGGACACATGGAAATTCATTTCCTTAGGCATTAATCATGCAAACATATTTATTTTTTTATTGTGATACAGCATCAGTGAGATATGAACCTATGATCTTCTGTTCTCTATCCATGTAATTAGTCCCCTGTGCCACCAGTATGGAGCTAGCATGCCATGTTTTTTTACACACACAAAGCTGTTAATTTTAGTCTATTCAAACAGACCCCATTTCAAAGGAAACAAGCACTCATTAAGATCAGGTGTGGCCAATTGTGGGTGTGGCCAACATCCCTGAACACACTTAACAAGATAGAAGATAGAGATAGTTTTGTCTTAACGTTCGCAAAACAATTTGAGAAATGACTTTAAATAGAACCATGAGGAAACGTTATGCTGAAGTACTGAAATTCCTACAGAAGAATGTTGTTTCTTAATGCTCTCTAAACTATTTGAGAACATTCCCAATGTCAAACCAGTTGGAGAACATTCCTAGAACATTACCAAAATGTAAATTAAATGTAGCCATGTTTGAACTCTTAGGAAACATTTTGTTAAAGTTATGAAATAGGGAGAAAACAACTTTTATTTTGTGAAGTTCCTTGAATGTGCTGAGAATGTTCCAAAGCCAAGCCACAATCCTGCACTATTCGCAGAAAGTTGTGGGAAGGTTTTATGAAAAATAACCATAGGACAATTACACTCTCACCAACCTCTAAGAAATATATGGTTCTCAAACATTATGTGCTAGCTGGGCATGCTTTGAGATAGAAATGGCTGCATTGGACCTTTAATAACAAATTTGACATTTGTCTTTGGGGGAAGTAACTGTGTTGAAGTATATATGGGGAAAAGATTGTTGAAGGGGTGGATCTTATTTAGTTTTGTCAACCTGATTATATACAGGAAGAAAAACAGAAGTAAATAAATAAATACAAATAATAACAATAATAATACATTTGATTAAAATAAATAGTAATTGCGTGTTAGAGGAGACACTTTGTGAATACGGTCCCTGAACTATCTCTCTGCCATTGTGTTGTCTCCTACTCTCCCAGCCTTGTCCAACTGGCACACACACTCCCTGCCCACTAGTGGCAGTAGTGGCCACTCCAGGAGGCCTGAGAAGGACTTTGTGGCTCTGAACCGCGAGGGGGTGAAGTCCGGCCTGGTGACTGCCAAGGAGCATTACCAGTACCGCGCCACCCACGACAGGAGACGAGCCGCCCCTGCCAGAAGGGGCTCTCATGTCCCTGTGCCCCCTCGCATCCCCCGTGACACTACCTTTGGCATCTCGACACGGTGAGTGTCCCACTTTATTTGATCTGATGTGGTGTTCAAAATGACACCCTATTCCCTATCTAGTGCACTAGATAGGTAATAGCAATAGGGTGTAATTTCAGATGCAACTTCTCTCATACTGGAACAGGGCATCACAACATGAAGGGAAGGAAATGATAGTTACAATACTGTGGATGGCCAATTTGCTAATGTGTTCTATCCATTTTTATTGAGATATAGCAGTATATGTTCTCTATACTGTTTTCATTTTGACAAAAGGTGAATTTGCCATTACACTTCTTAATGTGAGCTGGACAGCCAGCCGACGCCACCACTTAGCTAACGAATCAATTTGTAGCTATTATGCACAACGGCACAACTTGTGTAGAACGTGCACGCTTTGCTCTGTAGCGTACAGACATCTCTCCACCAAAGCTTTATACGTGTCTGTCTCCTCTCAAGGGAACAAATGTTTGAATTCACAGCAGCAGTGGATATGTTATTAATAGATCTCAAGCAAGAGATCCCATTGAAATAATGAAATCACAACCACAGCAACATGAATAGGTGCCAGCATTTATTTAGCTTAATTCCCTCGATGAGGATCTGCTCTCTGTGTGTTCATAGGGAAAAATCGGAACACTAATCTAGTTGTTTTCAGCCGCAATGCTGCTAATAGGTTGTCATGGCTGATTGGAAGTCAGTGGTGAGGCTGTTTTAGCAAGTGTTTGTGTTTTGTGGAGGATGTGTGTCTGTATTAGTGGAGATATGACAGCCCTAGACCGCCTGCTGCATCAAACATCCTCTTGTCCCAGACACAGACAGCCCTACAACACTGGGCCAACACTGCCTGCAACATACTGGACACACTCACTTAAAGAAGACAAGATGCCACTAGCTGTATCATTACACAAGCATTATAGTAGTATAGCATTACAGACGGATAGTAAAATCCAAACTTCAAGTTTATTGACATTATATAGCATTGGCTGGGGTATCTTTACCCCAGTGCAATCTGTAACAATCGTGAAGCATGATGCAGTTTTGAAGCATTCAGAGTCAGTACTATGAAGAATTCACAGTCAGTACTACTTCAGTCAGTACTATGACGCATTCACAGTCAGTACTATGAAGCATTCACAGTCAGTACCCAGCTAGCACTTAACTACATGTGTCTTAGGTCTTGGTGAGAGCGTGTTTGTCCTATGGTTCTTTTGCATACCTTCCCACAACTTTCTGGGAATGGTGCAGGAAGGATAGTTGCTTGGCTTTGGAACACTCAGTACATTTGAGGAACTTAACAAAAAAACATTATTTACTTGGTATTTCAAACTCATTCCACGGAGGGCCGGTTGTCTGCAGGTTTTTGTTTTTTCCTGACTTTAAGACCTAGACAACCAGGTGAGGGGAGTTCCTTACTAATTAGTGACCTTAATTAATCAATCAAGTACAAGGGTAGAGCGAAACCCGCAGACACTCGGTCCTCCGCGGAATGAGTTTCACACATGCTTTAACAGAACTTTTCCTAACATTTCAAACATGGTTACAGTTAATTACATTTTTGGTAATGTTCTAGGAACTTTCTCCAAATGGTTTGACATTGGACATTTTCTCAAATAGTTCCAAAAATATCTTCAACATTCATCGGTGGGAATTTCAGTATTCAGCATAACTTTTCCTACAGGTTTCCTCATGGTTCTATTTAAAGTAATGTTCTCAAATAGTTCCAAGAACGTTAAGAAACAACAATCTTCTGTGGGAATTTCAGTACTTTAGCATAACGCTTCCTCATGGTTTTATTTAAAGTCATGTTCTCAAATTGTTCAGTCAACTTTAAGAAATAACATTCTTCTGTGGGAATTTCAGTGCTTCTACAGAACATTCCATACAACTTCCCATGTGGTTCTATTTAATGTCATATTTTTCCTACATTCTGGGAACGTTCTCAAAAATGGTGTGACTTAAACGATGTTCTCAGAACGTTCAGTGTGTGTATGGTTCTCTTTTATGTCAGTTCTTTGCAATATTCTGGGAATGTTCTAAAAAATGGAATTCTACATATTAACATCAATAAGCTCTAAATTCCGTTCTCAGAACATGAAGAAAACTTTCCATAAAACCCCAAAGAAAATGTTCTAAGAATGTTATTTAAAAACATATACATTCCGTTCTCAACGTCAACAAAACTCTCTCTATCCTCTATCTTGTTAAGTGTGTTCAGGTGTGTTGGCTGTGCCCACTAATTGGCCACACCTGATCTTAATGTGTGCTTGTTTCCTTTTCCTTTAGGGTTGGGGGTGGGAGAGGGATGCGAACCCTGGTTAGGGTAAGGGTTAAGGTTAGGGTTGGGGGTGGGAGAGGGATGCGAACCCTGTGTTGGGTAAGGGTTAAGGTTAGGATTGGGGGTGGGAGCGGGAGCGGGATGCGAACCCTGGTTAGGGTAAGGGTTAAGGTTAGGGTTGGGGGTGGGAGAGGGATGCGAACCCTGGTTAGGGTAAGGGTTAAGGTTAGGGTTGGGGGTGGGAGAGGGATGCGAACTCTGGTTAGGGTAAGGGTTAGGATTGGGGGTGGGAGCGCGAGCGGGATGCGAACCTTGGTTGGGGTAAGGGACAGGGTTGGGTAAGGTGATAAGCCAGGGTTGGGTAGGGTTGGGTTCAGACAGAGAATTGGATGGGTTTGTGTTGTATGCTTGTGTTGGCTGAATGGGAGGGAGAGCCGCCAACGTGCTGTTCTTGATCGTTCTTAAAAACCTCTGGGAGTTACCTTGCCCTCTAAGGACATGAAATAAGGTTGAGATGGCATGGTCCAGTAAGAAAAATGTATGCACTCAATAACTGTAAGTCGCTCTGGATAAGAGCATCTGCTAAATTACTAAAATGTAAGAATGTTAAATGGGGTCTGTTTGAATAGACTAAAATGAACAGCTTTGTATGCATAAAGAAACATGGCTTGCTAGCTCCATCCTGGTGGCGCAGTGGACTAATTCCATGGATAGAAACCAGCCATGTCACAATAGAAAATACATGCATAATTAATGCCTAAGCATCAATTGGTCCTATCTATGCTTGAAGTTCAAAAAAGTTAACCCAACATAAGAAAGCAGTGCTATTAAAAGTCTAACATTCAATAAAAGTTCACAATATTTAGAGAACGTTATTTAACCCTCTAGAGTCTACTAAGTCCTGTCTAAGCCGGGGGACATTGAATTTGGCATTACTTCTATTAGCCAATAGAAACGCATTGAATAACAGATTCACTACATGGAACAACAGATAGTCCCCCAAAAAAATCTAAAATAAAGTTTGTTCTGAAGTGTCTGTCCTATATCTGAGAGATAAAAGAAAGATCAGGAAACAATATATATATATATTTTTTTACATGCATTTATCCCCTTATTTTAGGCACTAGACTATCTCCATATATACATCCATTAATTTTTTTAACTGGTACCAGGGACCTTCAGACGAGTCTTGTGAGGCATCCTAAAACAGAGAACACCATCATGTTCATGAGTGTCTCAGCTTTCCACAGAGGGGTCATTTTAGTGTGCAGCCCAAACCATTCCGATGCTACAGACAGAAGTTGGCAGAAGAGGCTGTACCTATTTCAGAGAACACCATCGTGTTCGTGAGAGTCTCATCTTTAATAGTTAGTAGGCCAAACCGTTTGGACGCTACAGACATTTTCGTGAGAAGACCGATTTTTGGGACGTCTCATGGTCTGACAAAGACCGCTCTAGCTCTGCCAGCTTTCACCTTTCAGATGCGGAAGGTCGATATCGGCGGATGCGGTGGATTGAGACACAGCCCATGCAAAAAAACATATCTCTAGCTTAAACAGATGGATTTTGATGGGGATTTTTTTATTATGTTAATTAGATTTCCACGGGGCCGCGGAAATTGTAGCCGAAGGGTTCATTACTGTCAAATAACCTATAATTTCCGTTCTCAGAGCATTGAAACAACTTTCAAGTAACCAGAGTAAAAAGTTCTCAGAACCTCCCTGCAACCTAAAAATAAACACTCCCAGAACAGGCACAATTGTCACTTCTTTTTTCAGAATGTAAAATAAAATATTACGTTTTACCGGTACAGAAAGGTATGGCTTAATTCCCACAATCAATGTGAAACCAAAAACATACGTTCCCACAACTATGAAGCATTTAGTCAGTATGAAGCATTCACAGTCAGTACTATAAAGCATTCTGTCAGTACTATGAAGCATTCACAGTCAGTTCTAGCATTCACAGTCAGTACTACGAAACACTCAGTCAGTACTGTGAAGCATTCACAGTCAGTATTATGAAGCATTCACAGTCAGTACTATGAAGCAGTGGTGTAGTGCTATTTTATTTAGGGGAAGGAGCGCAAACAAATTACATAAATGACGTCATCATTTCTCATTCAAAGTTTGTACCGACAGATGTAGAATAGGCCTATCCATAAAATCCATCCTCCAATTGCAACATCTGCCTATGCCCACACATTTTGTCTCAATATTTTATTTTATTTGTAATTCACTGAAACACCAAGTTAGGCATAGGCCTACCTTATTTCAAAATAGTAAATTATACTTCTTCATGTTTTACCGGTGAAATGTCCGAACTGCATGCTAATCATTTGAGCTCAATCAGTTTCATGGGGATATGCATTTAGATCTTCTTGAATGACTGTTTCGTGAGCGGATTGTGTTAACAAACTATAAGCCTTTCTTGGACCCCTATTTTGTTTCAATCAAAGCATCCTGCCTCCTGGCGCACGCGCTGTTGAGTTTGAGATGTATTTTTACTATTCAGCTTCAGATAAGAAAGGACTAAGGAATGAGGAGGTGTTTTTGGTGTAACATATTACAGTATATGCTATTCTTTTCGGTTCTGTTATGTAAAATACGAATTAGTCATTATGATCTTGCGAGAGATTGACTCAGCTTTAATCAACATTTACTAAACGGCACCATTGTGAGAAGAGAGAATCTTCTATTTGTAATAATAATAAGTGATGAGTAGGACGTAGGCAACGGATCTTGATGGTGAGGGTTAAGCGATTTGAGCGCCCTTCGAATTGTGGTGCTGAAAGGATAGCATATTGGTCACATATTGTTCTGGGTTCCGATACACAAGAGGGGGAGTTCTTCCAATTTGGCCTGCTCAAAGTGGTCAAGCCTCAGACCGACGGGTCTCTGCACATGCCTACAGTAATTCATCATTCGCGCCACCGCCTGAGAGAGAAGACAGGGAAGAAACCACCATTTACCTACCTATAGGCTGCTGTAGCCTACATATATATTTAGTTTGTCATTATATAATTTTCATGGAATTTTAGTGGTAATTAAATATAATTTATTGAGAATCTATCAGAATTAATTTCAGCAATATTTTTACCAGATCCATGTATTCTCAAATTGAAAAAAGTGTAGGAGCGCCAAATTATACAAATATAAAGCCCATCATCCACACACATTCTTTCAATGAACATTTTGATTTTTGGAATTGGTTTAAGAAAGACATTATGGACGTGGACATGTGTTAGTTCCGATTGTCTGATCCTGCTGGCTCATACGCCGTAGCCCCTGAGTTGAGAGCGCAGGCTGGGGATGGAGAGGAGCGGGAGGGCTTGGGGTGGTAGAGGGACTATGTGAGAAAGAAAACCTATTCATCATCGAGATCGTTGCCTCCACCATCATGTGACAGGGGATCTCACATCACATCCTAAGTGTAGTAGGATTGTCACAATACCAGTATGCGTTGATACCACAATAATCGATTTTACATGGCAAAAAAAGAAAACACGAAGCAGACTGAATTCTATGCTCCTCCGGAAATAAACAAATGTGACTCTGGGTGACAACAGAAGGCTGTGTGTTTGGAACATTAGCACTGTGTTGCTCAACAAATAAGACTGGCATTCAGTTCAAGGTGCATTATCAAAAGGTGCATTGACCTTCACTTTTAAAGGTAATTTACGATAGGCTGACATCAAGTGTTTACCATGAATGTGATCTCTGCGAATGTCAGGGAAATTACCTTTAATAGATACATCGCTGGTAGTGCAGTGCGCAGCGCTGCAACCGGCCTTTGAATGAATCCTGGCCGAAGTCATCTTCATGTTTTGTTTCCTTGCCATAATACTTCGGAGTGTCGCGATACTGGTATCGTGAAAACCCTCAAATGCAGGGATTGTTACGACGAGGCATATGGGCATAGGTTACAAGAGTCCTATCTTTATCCTCTCCCTCCTTGTGGGCAATGGATCTGTAAAATGTAGCAGGATTATTTGGCTAACAACACCCTTGTGTGCAGTTGCTCTATTTCTCAGATAGTCTTTCCCCATCCTTCTCTCTCTTTCCCCTCTTGGTGTCAAGAGCAGGTTTATCTTCTTCTATCCTGACGCTTGGGCCTGTGTCAGGGGGCTGAGGCAGGGTCAGGGAGTGGGGTACCATAACAGATCATATCATGGTTCCCTGGGGACTTGTTTGGCCCCGCACCCTATCTACCAAATGCCAAGGTGAACTCTAATGTGCATGAGTTAGGATCCTACTACTGAAGCCCCCCTTCCCCCATGCATACAGTGAGGGAAAAAAGTATTTGATCCCCTGCTGATTTTGTACGTTTGCCCACTGACAAAGACATGATCAGTCTATAATTTTAATGGTAGGTTTATTTGAACAGTGAGAGACAGAATAACAACAAAAAAATCCAGAAAAACGCATGTCAACAATTTTAGAAATTGATTTGCATTTTAATGAGGGAAATAAGTATTTGACCCCCTCTGCAAAACATGACTTAGTACTTGGTGGCAAAACCCTTGTTGGCAATCACAGAGGTCAGACGTTTCTTGTAGTTGGCCACCAGGTCAAGTCATTAAGGTTTCGAGGCTGACGTTTGGCAACTCAAACCTTCAGCTCCCTCCACAGATTTTCTATGGGATTAAGGTCTGGAGGCTGGCTAGGCCACTCCAGGACCTTCATGTGCTTCTTCTTGAGCCACTCCTTTGTTGCCTTGGCCGTGTGTTTTGGGTCATTGTCATGCTGGAATACCCCATCTACAACCCATTTTCAATGCCCTGGCTGAGGGAAGGAGGTTCTCACCCAAGATTTGACGGTACATGGCCCCGTCCATCGTCCCTTTGATGCGGTGAAGTTGTCCTGTCCCCTTAGCAGAAAAACACCCCCAAAGCATAATGTTTCCACCTCCATGTTTGACGGTGGGGATGGTGTTCTTGGGGTCATAGGCAGCATTCCTCCTCCTCCAAACACGGCGAGTTGAGTTGATGCCAAAGAGCTACATTTTGGTCTCATCTGACCACAACACTTTCATCCAGTTCTCCTCTGAATCATTCAGATGTTCATTGGCAAACTTCAGACGGGCCTGTATATGTGCTTTCTTGAGCAGGGGGACCTTGCGGGCGCTGCAGGATTTCAGTCCTTCACAGCGTAGTGTGTAACCAATTGTTTTCTTGGTGACTATGGTCCCAGCTGCCTTGAGATCATTGACAAGATCCTCCCGTGTAGTTCTGGGCTGATTCCTCACCATTCTCGTGATCATAGCAACTCCACGAGGTGAGATCTTGCATGGAGCCCCAGGCCAAGGGAGATTGACAGGTATTTTGTGTTTCTTCCATTTGCGAATAATCGCACCAACTGTTGTCACCTTCTCACCAAGCTGCTTGGCGATGGTCTTGTAGCCCATTCCAGCCTTGTGTAGGTCTACAATCTTGTCCCTGACATCCTTGGAGAGCTCTTTGGTCTTGGCCATGGTGGAGAGTTTGGAATCTGATTGATTGCTTCTGTGGACAGGCGTCTTTTATACAGGTAACAAGCTGAGATTAGGAGCACTCCCTTTAAGAGTGCGCTCCTAATCTCAGCTCGTTACCTGTATAAAAGACACCTGGGAGCCAGAAATCTTTCTGATTGAGAGGGGGTTAAATACTTATTTCCCTCATTAAAATGCAAATCAATTTATAACATTTTTGACATGCGTCTTTCTGGATTTTTTTGTTGTTATTCTGTCTCTCACTGTTCAAATAAACCTACCATTAAAATTATAGATGGATCATTTCTTTGTCAGTGGGCAAACGTACAAAATCAGCAGGGGATCAAATACTGTTTTCCCTCACTGTATGACAACACACTGATGCTGATACATGATAATGATAACAGCACACACAGTCCTAGAGCTATGTATTCTGAAGGAGGACGTAACATTCCATAACAGTCACTCTCTGCACTTGTGAGTGACTCTTTACTCACACTTATGAGTAAAGGAATGCTTACACTCCGTTCTAGGTGGCCTTATTTCCGCCATGATAAGAAAGGAAGAATCCTCAGATCCAGGCAGACAGTACGGGCAGGGACCAATCCTCTCTCGTCTTCCCCAGACCAGGCTGCTTGTAGCGGGGCTCCTGTAGCACCCCTGTCCAACTTGATTAGGGCTCCATGCTCGTGGAGAGGTGATGAGTGCAGGGCCATGTGGCACGCACTAATGAAGCAATAAAAGTCACCACGGGGGGTGGAGCTGGAGGGGAGGGGCCTGCAGGTTGCCAGTGCCGAGGCAGGCGTTAATTGAGATGTCCCAATCAACTCATATTACCTCCGTATTGCACACATCACATAGCAGAGAGAGAGAGCGAGAGAATGGGGGGAGAGTTCCTCAGATCCTCCTCCATGCTCTTGTGGCTGAATGGAAGCAAGTACCCAAAGCAATGTTCCAACATCTAGTGGAAAGCCTTCCCAGAAGAGGCTGTTATAGCAGCAAAGGGGGGACCAACTCCATATTAATTCCCATGATTTTGGAATGAGATGTTCGACGAGCAGGTGTCCACATACTTGTCGTGTAGGTTCCCAATCTAGCTGGCTAGCTAAAGCCAACTTCATAAAATTGCTAGGTGGCTATTATTACAGAGAAACAACAAAACATTTCCATTTTATTTATTCATCAAGAAGGAATCAATAGGCTACAAAGCTAGATCAAATTCATTTAGCAAAGATATCTCCAGTGAGCCCATCACCGGCAGCTAAAATCAAATCAAAAGCTGTTTGTCACTCTACACACTCTCTTTTGTTCTGTGGTGCACCTTAGAAGGAATCACTTACTAAGGAGAATGGGGGGGACTCTCTGCCTGGTCCAGTCAGTGTGCCCCCTCCGCAAAATACCGCTGACAGATATTTTTATAAATAATTATGAAAAACCTGGGCTTGAAAATGAAATTTAGTAATTTATTTAACATCTGATTATAAAAAAATGTACAGGACAAATCTGAAGGGGCATGTGCCCATGTGCCCCCTATGGGCATGACGCCTCTGGTCATAGTTACAGTAGCCTCAAAATGTGGATGTGGATTTGTTACTCATTTTAAGGTTGAACATTACATTCGTTTTAAGATAGCCTTAACTTGGGCCTCCCGAGTGGCGCAGTGATCTAAGGCACTGCATTGCAGTGCTAGAGGCATCACTACAGACCCGGGTTCGATTCCAGGCTGTATCACTACAATTGGCCCAGCGTCGTCCGGTTTTAGGGGAGGGTTTGGCCAGGGGGGCTTTACTTGGCTCTAGCGACACCTTGTGGTAGGCCGGGCGCCTGCAGGCTGACCTCTGTCGTCAGGTGAACGTTTTCCTCCGACACATTGGTGCGGCTGGCTTCCGGTTTAAGCGGGCGGATGTTAAGAAGCGCGGTTTGGCGGGTGATGTTTCGGAGGACTCGACCCGAGTCCGTTGGGGAGTTGCATCAATGAGACAAGATCGAAATTGGGGAGAAAAAGGGTTATATACAGTGAGGAGAACAAGTATTTGATACACAGCCGATTTTGCAGGTTTTCCTACTTACAAAGCATGTAGAGGTCTGTAATTTTTATCATAGGTACAGTTCAACTGTGAGAGACAGAATCTAAAACAAAAATCCAGAAAATCACCTTGTATGATTTTTAAGTAATTAATTTGCATTTTATTGCATGACATAAGTATTTGATCACCTACTAACCAGTAAGAATTCCGGCTCTCACAGACCTGTTAGTTTTTCTTTAAGAAACCCTCCTGTTCTCCACTCATTACCTGTATTAACTGCACCTGTTTGAACTCGTTACCTGTTTAAAAGACACCTGTCCACACACTCAATCAAACAGACTCCAACCTCTCCACAATGGCCAAGACCAGAGAGCTGTGTAAGGACATCCGGGATAAAATTGTAGACCTGCACAAGGCTGGGATGGGCTACAGGACAATAGGCAAGCAGCTTGGTGAGAAGGCAACAACTGTTGGCGCAATTATTAGAAAATGGAAGAAGTTCAAGATGACGGTCAATCACCCTCGGTCTGGGGCTCCATGCAAGATCTCACCTCGTGGGGCATCAATGATCATGAGGAAGGTGAGGGATCAGCCCAGAACTACACGGCAGGACCTGGTCAATGACCTGAAGAGAGCTGGGACCACAATCTCAAAGAAAACCATTAGTAACACACTACGCCGTCATGGATTAAAATCCTGCAGCGCACGCAAGGTCCCCCTGCTCAAGCCAGCGCATGTCCAGGCCCGTCTGAAGTTTGCCAATGACCATCTGGATGATCCAGAGGAGGAATGGGAGAAGGCCATGTGGTCTGATGAGACAAAAACAGAGCTTTTTGGTCTAAACTCCACTCGCCGTGTTTGGAGGAAGAAGAAGGATGAGTACAACCCCAAGAACACCATCCCAACCGTGAAGCATGGAGGTGGAAACATCATTCTTTGGGGATGCTTTTCTGCAAAGGGGACAGGACGACTGCACCGTATTGAGGGGAGGATGGATGGGGCCATGTATCGCGAGATCTTGGCCAACAACCTCCTTCCCTCAGTAAGAGCATTGAAGATGGGTCGTGGCTGGGTCTTCCAGCATGACAACGACCCGAAACATACAGCCAGGGCAACTAAGGAGTGGCTCCGTAAGAAGCATCTCAAGGTCCTGGAGTGGCCTAGCCAGTCTCCAGACCTGAACCCAATAGAACATCTTTGGAGGGAGCTGAAAGTCTGTATTGCCCAGCGACAGCCCCGAAACCTGAAGGATCTGGAGAAGGTCTGTATGGAGGAGTGGGCCAAAATCCCTGCTGCAGTGTGTGCAAACCTGGTCAAGACCTACAGGAAACGTATGATCTCTGTAATTGCAAACAAAGGTTTCTGTACCAAATATTAAGTTCTGCTTTTCTGATGTATCAAATACTTGTGTCATGCAATAAAATGCAAATTAATTACTTAAAAATCATACAATGTGATTTTCTGGATTTGTTTTTATTTTTTAGATTCCGTCTCTCACAGTTGAAGTGTACCTATGATAAAAAATGACAGACCTCTACATGCTTTGTAAGTAGGAAAACCTGCAAAATCGGCAGTGTATCAAATACTTGTTCTCCCCACTGTATATATATACACAGTACCAGTCAAATGTTTGGACACACATTTACATTTTAGTCATTTAGCAGACGCTCTTATCCAGAGCAACTTACAGGAGCAATTAGGGTTAAGTGCCTTGCTCAAGGGCACATCGACAGATTTTTCACCTAGTCGGCTCGGGGATTAGAACCAGCGACCTTTCGGTTACTGGCACAACGCTCTTAACCACTAAGCTACCTGCCACCACACCTACTCATTCAAGGGTTTTTCTTTATTTAAAAAAAGTGTTAAACAAATCCAAATATATTTTATATTTGAGATTCTTCAAAGTAGCCACCCTTTGCCTTGATGACAGCTTTGCACATTCTTGGCATTCTCTCAACCAGCTTCACATGGAATGCTTTTCCAACAGTCATGAAGGAGTTCCCACATATGCTGAGCACTTGTTGGCTGCTTTTCCTTCACTCTGCCGTCAGACTAATCCCAAACCATCTCAATTGGGTTGAGGTCGGGGGATTGTGGAGACCAGGTCATCTGATGCAGCACTCCATCACTCTCCTTCTTGGAGGTGTGTTAGGTCATTGTCCTGTTGAAAAACAAATGATAGTCCCACTAAGCCCAAACCAGATGGGATGGCGTATCGCTGCAGAATGATGTGGTAGCCATGCTGGTTAAGTGTGCCTTGAATTCTAAATAAATCACAGACAGTGTCACCAGCAAAGCACACCATAACACCTCCTCCTCCATGCTTTACGGTGGGAACTACACATGCAGAGATCATCCATTCACTCACACCGCGTCTCACAAAGACACGGCGGTTGGAACCAAAAATCTCCAATTTGGACTCCAGACCAAAGGACACATTTCCACCGGTCTAATGTCCATTGCTTGTGTTTCTTGGACCGAGCAGGTCTCTTCTTATTATTGGTGTCCTTTAGTAGTGGTTTCTTTGCAGCAATTCGACCATGAAGGCCTGATTCACACAGTCCCCTCTGAACAGTTGAGATGTGTCTGTAACTTGAACTCTGTGAAGCATTTATTTGGGCTGCAATTTCTGAGGCTGGTAACTCTAATGAACTTATCCTCTGCAGCAGAGGTAACTCTGGGTCTTCCATTCCTATGGCGGTCCTCATGAGAGCCAGTTTCATCATAGCGCTTGATGGTTTTTGCAACTGCACTTGAAGAAACTTTCAAAGTTCTTGAAATGTTCCGTATTGACTGACCTTCATGTCTTAAAGTAATGGACTGTTGTTTCTCTTTGCTTATTTGAGCTGTTCTTGCCATAATATGGACTTGGTATTTTACCAAATAGGGCCATCTTCTGTATACCTTGTCACAACACAACTGATTGGCTCAAACTCTTTAAAAAGGAAAGAAATTCCACAAATTAACCTTTAAGAAGGCACACTTGTTCATTGAAATGCATTCCAGGTGACTACCTCATGAAGCTGGTTGAGAGAATACCAAGAGTGTGCAAAGCTGTCATCAAGGCAAAGGGTGGCTATTTGAAGAATCTCAAATATAAAATATATTTTGATTTGTTTAACACTTTTTTGGTTACTACATGATTCCATATGTGTTATTTCATAGTGTCATTTCATGTCTTCTCTATTATTATACAATGTAAGAAATAGTAAAAATACAGAAAACCGTTGAATGAGTTGGTGTGTCCAAACTTTTGACTGGTAGTGTATATACTGTGTGTGTATATATATATATATATATATATATATATATATATATATATATATATATAAAATAAATTAAAAATTAAAAAGAGCCTTAACTTTAGGCTATTTACTGTAATACAAAAGTAATATTGAATTGTGTTTGGTTGACAATGCAACCAAATATCAACATTTAAAGGAGGAGATGTATTTAGTGCTTGGATATTCCCATCTCAGCCACTGGCTTAATCCCATTCTTTAACTTGTATTTTTGGTCGAGTTGGAGACGTGAATCCAACACATAATGAATAGGCTATTTATTGTATTTCAATCTCGAGACATAAATCCAACATATCAATTATTGATTTGGAATAAAATAAATCCTGAAATTAAAGCCAGACTAAGTCAGTGACACAGATGGAACAATCCAATACAGAAGATGAATCTCCTTTAAATGTTTATATTAGGGTTGCGTTGACAACTAAACACGCAATTCAATATCACTACATATCATTAAATTTGAAATCAACCAGAGCTTGAAAACCTAGGCCTATTGTGTTGTCTATTGTTAGTTGAATTCTGGGTTGAATTGAAACAATAACTGTTGATGACTTTGCAAATGCCATATAGGCCTAAATAGCAGAATTGATTATACAATATATGAGTGATAAAGTACGGTCACATTTCATTTGCTTTGTTAAACCTACCCTTTGGAATGACTTCGATAGCAACAGTGAATCTATTTTTTTTTTTTAATTGGAGATCCATTCTCAACAATCGTTCTCACAATAGCACATTGGTAATAGTCAGTGACGGATATCATAGCTAAGCAGGGCTGGGCTTGGTTCAAATCCTTGATGGGAAACCAAAGGGTAACTGTAGATATATTAATTCTCCAGTAGGAGGTGCTGCCCAGCCTATTGTTTTTTTCTTCTCATAGTGGATATAATGTTGAAGATCTGACGTTTTAAAGGTATAAATTAAACATTTTATACGAGATTTGTCTATGTTGATATTTGGTTACCTTAATGGCATAATCCTGTGGTTGAAATTTCACCCTCAAAACAACAGTTGACAACTGATGACTTTTTTGAAATCCAATGTATTCCCCTAGATTCCATGTCACAATACGTTGACAAATGACGTTGAAACAATGTTGATTCAACCAGTTTGTGCCAAGTTGGTAGGAAGTGATTTCCGATGCAGTCACAGTCAAATCTTTCAGCTGCCTCAGAGAAAGAGGTCCCTCTTCTAGTAGTCCCATAGGACAGTCAGTCAGGTCAATGTCAATGTCAGTCCTGTGTTGTGTCGTCTCAGGCCATCCACTCCCATCTGTGAGCTGCTGGAGCACAAGTATGCCCAGCACTGGCTAGAGGAGCAGCAGGCCAAGGAGAGAGCCCTGGAGGAGAGGCAGCTCAACATGGTGAGATTTGGGGACGAGTGGAGAGGAAAGGAGAGGAGAGTGGTTTTAAAGGTAGCCAGGAGCAGTGTTCTCCAGGGTTGGGTTCAATTCCATTTTCAGTTCGGGGGGTGGATTGAAATTACAATTAAAGGATTCTGAAATTGTCTATTGTTTCGTATGAGCATTTTTCCATTCATGAATTGAACGTCAATTTACTTCCTGAATTGACTTTATTGAAAACTGAATTGAGCCCAAACTCATATGCACTATGCATCCTGAAGACTGGCACGCAAGGAAGGGTTATTTATTTTTTATAACCTGTTTTGGAGAAGGTATTACCAGCAGTAGTAGTAAGTAGTACTTGTAGTGGTGGTGGTATAAGTATTAGTATCCATGTTGTGCTTTGGCCTTTCTAAATGTTCTATGTATGTCCATTTCTCTTCTGGCGTGGCTATCCTTGCAGCCTAAGCTGGGCCGCATCCAGGAGACACGGACAACTCTGTTGAGGAAGAGTCGGCCCATGCCTGAGTCTACCCCGCTGTGGAAGCTTCCCCGCTTCCAGCAGGTAAGAGCCCAGTACAGTAACACCACAGCACAGCTACAGGGTCACCAGACTAGACAGCCCAACCAGTTTTACTGTAGTTGTTCTATTACCGTGCGTGTGTGAGTGAGAGAGGTGTATCCTGAAGGCATTTCTACACACAGTCCATAGGGAATCAGTGAGGAATGGAAGGGGAAATAATAAATAATATACTGCCTTAGGGGAGGTTTACAGTCAAATTTATGATTTACAACACACACACAGGCATGTGTAGACCCACACACCCTCAGTGATCCCCCTCGCTCACCTACCTCATGGCTAGCACAGGCCTCCAATTAAATCAAAGTGATGTGTTTTTATTGGCGTTTTACAATGACAAGTGGGCTATCATTGTGACGGCTCTACCTGTCAGTGAGGCAATGAAAATACTCCATTGACAATGCCCACCACTTCCAATTATGGGGGAATCAGCCTGCTGCCGCGCTAACGATCCGCCACTGCCTTCCACACGCATACACACACACAGTCTTCCCCACCTAACTTTACTTTCCCAATTTCTTCCCATTCCTCTCCTTTCCTCCATATATATTTCTGGTGCGCTGCCTGGTGTCGAGGTCTGCTTTCGATGCCTGTCAGCTTTAATGAGGCGATTTAAGGTTTATTTTGGCGGCACGCGCACCGCTAAAGTCTTTCTTGTCTGACAGCTGACGGTGAAAGGCGAATGTTAACCTTATAAAAGACTTAACAATCCTCATTATTTTCTGTCAAGTAGCATTTCTGATGGCTCTGGGTTCGGCATTTGCATCCCTGACTTTTCCGGCGTGCTCCGCGTTTCATCTGCTCATCATTTGTTTGTTTGTGTTGTCATTTGTCTTTTACATCTCTCAATTCTATCTTTGTTGAATCGCTTGTTTTTTCTTCCCCGTTTCAATAAGATGCGATGGTTCCACAGGATACATGATTTCTTACCAAACAAAGAGAACATAACAAACAAGTAAATATTTAAATAAACAAATGACACACAGGCAATGTTACACTGTGCTTTTTTCTGGCATGTAGATTTGATAAGGGAACTGATGGGAGCTGTTTTCTCAGTGTTTGAAGCATCCTACAAGCGATTTGCAACATGTTAAATGTAAGAAAAAAGTGTGTACTTGCAGGATTGACTGGCAGTCCGTATCTGAGGACAACTTTTATTCCAAAATCTAAATGTATTTTAGAAAGTACTCTTCCACAATCCACACACATCAATCTAAATGTATTTCAGAAAGTACTCTTCCACAATCCACACACATCAATCGAAATGCCTGGAGGAAAGAGTGAGAAAAGCCTGTGGAGATGCATTATATGTAGGCCTCAAACTCTCCATCACATCTTTCAGAATGTTTACTCACACATTGGAGTTGATCCACATGGCAGGTCCCTTTCATTTTGTTTCCAGTGTTGAGCCCTATCTAGCAGGATGGATTGATCGAAGAGCCCACAGTCATATCTATATAAGACTTTCCTACACATCTATATAAAACGTTGCCATATAAGACTGGGCCAAGTCAAACTCACCATAACATATCTCTATATAAGACTGGTCAAACTAACCATGTCACAAGCCAAACTCACCATCACTGTTTATCTTTTATCTGCAGGTTGGCCCAGCTCTGGACACCTTCCGGGATCCATATGCTAGAAAGAAGGCCTTCAGTGCCCACTTCTCAGACTCAGTGGCACAGACAGGACAGCTGGGCCAGGCACCCTAGACTGTGGGTTAAAACATACATTAGAGAAGAGTCTATGTAGTAACTGTTGGGGTAGGGAGTAGGGGGCAAAGTCCTGTTTTCCAAGCGGCCTTAATCAAATTGCTCACAGATACAATCAACCTATATGTATTACTGATACTGACAATGTCATTATCATGGGATTTTACTGATTTCTACAACTCCTCAATAACACCTTGTACTTTGAGTTTTTCGACAAAAGAACTGATATTGTACTTTTGGCCGAACCTACACTGTTACCACCACAAGGATTTGTAATATCATGTTTGTAGACGACACTACTCTTTAACTCTGTGAGAAGGTAAAGTACAAAACACTAAAATGCTGTGAAAACGTGTTCCTGGAAAAAATAAAGGAGAAATATTTTTAGTTAATCAAATACACTAACATATTAGTGAGTGCAGTTTTGTGTTTCTATTAACAAGGAGGTAGAAAATCTAATGCTTCACTTTTCACTGTTTGTTATTAGGTCATAGCTTGGCTATAAATCTTTTTCTCTGGTTGTGTTCCAAGTATAAAATATTTGATGGAAAAGTCAAACTGATTTAGCTTCATTTACTTCAATAAATTAATATATTCTATTTTCTGTTTGTTTGCCCACATAGAAAATCATCTGTTTTCTATGTTCATTAGCATAATATAAGGAAAACCACAACCTATACATACGGGACATGTGTAACAGATGGTACTTTCAAAGTACTTTGTACTTCTTCTGTGCTGTGTTTATAACAGGAAGTGGTCAGTCAGTCAGTGGTCCCACAAGGATGTTGATGGCTGTAGGTCTGTCTGGTTTGCATGTAAAAATACAAGAATGGGATTTGATCATCATAAATGATAACAATGACAAACATATTACAAAATACTATATATGTATAGTGAACCAAAAAGTAACATGTAACACTTTAAATGATTTTACTGAGATACAGTTCATATAAGGAAATCAGTCAATTGAAATAAATTCATTAGGGCCTAATCTATGGATTGAACGACTGGGCAGTGGCGCAGTTTTATTACAGACAGACATACTCCTGTTTCATCAGCTGTCCGGATGGCTGGTTTCAGACGATCACGCAGGTGAAGAAGCTAGATGTGGAGGTCCTGGGCTGGCGTGGTTACATGTGGTCTGCGGTTGTGAAGCCGGTTGGACGTACTGCCAAATTCTCCAAAATGACATTGGCTTATGGTAGAGAAATTAACATTACATTCTCTGGCAACAGCTCTGGTGGACATTCCTGCAGTCAGCATGCCGATTGTACGCTCCCGCAAAACTTGAGACATCTGTGGCATTGTGTTGTGTGACAAAACTGCACATTTTAGAGTGGCCTTTTATTGTCCCCAGCACAAGGTGCTCCTGCATAATGATCATGCTGTTTAATCAGCTTGTTGATATGCCACACCTGTCAGGTGGATGTGCACAACATTTTAGAGAAAAAAGCTTTTTGTGAGTATGGAACATTTCTGGGATCTTTCATTTCAGCTCATAAAACATACACTTTACATATATTTTTGTTCAGTACATATACCGGACACTCCCAAACTCACTCCACAGCAACCCCAGTAGATGAGCAGAGCACAACTGCAGATCCGGGTCACAGCACCATTATAAAGGACGTCACGCTGCTTGCTTAGCCATACCGCTTTCTCCCGATCCAGCTCATACCAAGACTCGAACTTGGGACCTCTGCCTCGCAAATACACACGATGGGCCTCCTGCCTGAAGCGTTCTAACCCGTTGCGCTACTGAAAAAGGTCCAATTCTGTAGCACAAGTGGCTACACTTCAGGCTAAGGAGTGTGTTTCATCGATCCTCATCTGCTACACATGTACATATCAGACTGGGAAGAACTGACATTCACGATCTCCCCCGCATCTACTAGCGTAGCCAATTGCATTAGACCTACACCTAACATGCCAATTCAACTATGTAAACATTGAAATACAGATTTCTGCAGCGGCAAGAAGTGCAAACATAAACAACCCTGTTAGACATGGATAACCAAGGAAACATGTACATCTAGGATACCAGAGGATTATTGCCAGCGTTGGTAAAGGTGTAATGGATCAGTGTGGAAAATATCTGTATGGAGATAGATATTGGGCCTGGGCCTCATAAATGATGTCTCATATTTACAGTAATGAGTGAGATGAAACAGGGTAGTGGTGGTAGAATCCCCCACTCCTCCTCCCACCAGTCATCACCCAAAACCTCTCTGAGCCAATGGGCTCAGGGCATTGTGGAAGACTGTTAGAGGCACCTTTAAAAGCTGACAATTGTGCTTTAGGTGTGAACAGGGTCACTAGGGGGCTGTCTTTTCTGTTTGCTTGGGGCCACAACAGCATCCATATACAGTACCAGTAAGCCCATCATGTACGTTCGTGTCGTCAGTGTCTCCCGGTTTCCTCCAAGGCAGGACGTGACTGCAAGACCGCATGGACCTGAAGACTGGTGCTGAAATGAACTCGCTAACTGGTTGAGGTCCTTCCCTTACAGGGGAAGTTTACTCTACAAAACATGTGGAATTAGGCTATTTTTAACCTAGGATTCTTTTTTGGGGGGGAGCATAGCCTACAGTGTCGTTTTCAGAACATAAACATATATGTCTACAGACACGCGTCAGTAAAACGCATAGGCCTAATGACGGAAAGTGGATAAAAACTAATTGCCTGGTCAAAGTTGTTTTGGGATTTTCCAACTGGACAGTTGAATTGTAGTTTAAAAGTACGAAATTACCGATTTGCCCTGTGCTTATTGATCATGGAGGTCTCCACAAACGGGTCGAGTTTTGGGATTGACTCTCTGCTGTCTCACAGACCAGCAAGCCCACACATTTTGAAAGGAGACAGTTCGATCGAAAAATGCCGGTCTCCACTGGAGTTAAGCCCGAGGTCCGACCTGGAAAGCGGCCGCTCGTCTCCTCCCTCCCCGCGACCGGAGTCTGTCGAAGATGCGATGCACAGACATGCTTTTGCACTAGAGTCCTCGCTACAGCATGGGCAACTGCCCCAGCCACGGACAGTCGCATCATCTTTTCTTATTCGCGATATTCTTGCAGACTATAATAAACCACTTGCAGCATGTGCCCCCTACAAGAGTCATGGACATCCCATGTCAGACTCAGAGCAATTTGAGTCCAAAATAGCGGACGACTTTATGGATAAAATCCACAGCAACTCGTCCTCGGACAATGAATACAAAGGTAAGCTTTATTACTTGACAGTGCGTAAAACAAGTTGACAGTGAGAAAATTGCTCATATAGACGGCTATTTTAAGAATTGTCAAATTATGACGGGCTTATAAATAGCCGGATGTCTTTTAAATATTATTTTTTTAAACGTTAATAAAAATAAAAAAAACTAGGCTATCATATTAGTTCATAAATTATATGAAAACATTAGGCCTATAGCCCAATACCCTTGGTTTGTAGGCCTACTTCCTATACATTAGTATTTATCTTGAGAGAAAATTTAATTACAAGCCCATTTAACTGCCTTTAAATGCAAACAGAAATAATCAAAGTATAGTCCTATATTATGATTTGTTCAATAAGGCCTTTAAGCGTAAACAATGTATCCAGCATGGTTAATTGACAGTGGCTGCAGCTAACATAAATATAATAATAATAATAATAATGTTATTTAACTAGGCCTATTATAGGCCACTTTAATATTATAGACCGTTCCTTATTTGTGATCAGCCTGAAAGTGTGTGTGCCTAAGATGACTGGTTTTCATTGCATGGATGAGTGGCGTTTCGTATATCAGATTGTCTCTCTCTCTAGTTGGTTTATCATCCACCGATACATCCAATTTTTCGGGGATTGGCTGCAATTTGTCCATCTGATAATCAGATTTGTAACCCGAGGATCTTGTCAGCTCTTTATTTCGGATTTATCCACGGTCCTGTGAAGTCCCGCCAGTCGGTTGACTGGTTTCCATCCCTTGTGGATCAATTAACTGGATTATTGTACTCCCTGAGAATCAGATCAGCCCATATAAAACCCAGCTTTCCCGCTTCACATATCCACTGTGCAATAACCATGGAAACAACCGAGATATTTTATAAATGTGGCAGTTATAGGCCTATAGCTAGAAATCCCTGTCCAATCATAACCAAGATTGTAGGCTAACCTGAAAATGTCCAGATCACAATTCTACCCTTTATGGTTTTGGTTGTATTTTGGTCATGTCTCTAGTTGTAAATCCATTTTCATTAATTTTAGCGAGAGACCATGACATGGACAGCAGCAGGGACAGTCCGTCGTCTCGGCTGAAGAAGCCCCGGAAAGCTCGAACCGCTTTCAGTGATCACCAGCTGGCCCAGCTCGAACGCAGCTTCGAACGCCAGAAATACCTGAGTGTGCAGGACAGAATGGAGTTGGCAGCTTCGCTCAACCTCAGCGACACTCAGGTCAAAACTTGGTACCAGAACAGACGGTGAGTTGCTAGACAAATCGAAACAGTCATTTGTAATTAATGTAAGTAGGCCTAGTTCTTGGTTCCAGCCACTAAAAAATATGTTATTACAAACATATAGTTTTGGCTAAGTCCTCCCATATCGTTGTGAAGAAATTACGCACAACACATTAATAATACATTACTGCATGATGTATCAATAATTGAACTGCCGTGCTGTAATTACACAATTGCTATAATTATTAATTATTTACCGATAAAATGGCTGTCAGCTGTGAGGCGTTTTGACATATTTCCCCCTAATGTAGCTACATTAATGTTTATTTAATAAACACCATAGACACTGTTGGATGCGTAAAGTAGGCCTATGAAATATTCTGGGCTACATCCAATTATATAGCCTCCTGCTTGTTATAATTGCAGATAACGATGCCCAATAAATTGTACCTATAGCTTGATTTTGTTCTCTAAACCCTAATTTTCCTGTTTCGTTTTAGAACGAAATGGAAGCGCCAGACCGCGGTTGGACTGGAATTGTTGGCCGAAGCTGGCAACTACTCGGCTCTTCAAAGAATGTTTCCCTCGCCATATTTTTACTCACACAGTCTGGTTTCGAACCTAGATACCACAGCGGGTTTATATATGTACAGAGGACCCTCGGCACCACCACCTATCCAGCGTCCGCTGGTTCCACGAATTCTACTCCATGGTCTTCAGGGAGGCGGGGAGCCGCTCTCCTCTCTGTCTGGGGTCCTCCCTCGACCTACACATCGATGAACGGACATAGCTGTCAGCAGCCACGCAAGCTCCTCGCGGACAAACAAATGGGACTGCACATGAACAAAAAAGACTTTGGGTCGATATTTCTGAAATGTAGTGAACAGTTTGGCTTTAGGGGAAAAAATGGCCAAATAAACATTTATGTTTGTAGGCCTATGTGTAATTGAACATTTTGTGTTTCAGAGCAGGTTTTTTCATTTTTTTTTTATAGGCAGACGGATAGGCTATCTTTTATCAAAGTGAAATTATTGGATTTAGGCCAAAATGCCAATTTTAATGTTAGCACAAATCTGGGTCTGGATTCAATTTGTATCGCTGAAGTTCAGCGTTCGAGCTGGCAAAGGCAATGTTCCCGCATTAGCGGATACTGCATTCACGATAAACGATGCATATGTCGGCTCAATCGGAAATTAGCTTTACATTTCGATCACGCAATCTGTAACGCTTCAGCGATAGATTGAATAGAGCCCAGTTATTCTCTAAAAACAAAATAAACACGTGGTTATAGCCTATGTTGATAGCAATATTTATATCCTTGATATTTGCAAATAATGAAAATGTGTAGGCCTACATTGCAGATTTATCTTTCGCATTTAATTCAATATGACATTCATTTTTGCGCTCAAAATTGGACGACCAATACGGGGCAACAGTGAAACTTTTTGAAGACGTAGCCTAATTTGAAATTGTTCCCGCAATGTCATGTGGTTATTTCAAAGTATCCCATCCCAGTTAAAGCCAAAACAAGGGGTTGTATTTAAGTTTCTTAAATGTACTTACACATTTTACAAAAATAACCCTACACTCAAAATATGTGTTCGAAAGAAGACAGTACAGTTAGAATTTTTATTTTATTAGGCCTATTTAACATGTATTTTGACAGGGAGTCATGTTAGCCAATCAATGGGCACAGAATTGCACACTGGCCTCTATATGGTTCAAATGAAATTAAGAAATCATTAGAAATGAAAGCAAAACGTGGCCTAGGGTGGTCTAGCAGTCTGGCCGCTGCTTCTGGTGCACAAAAACACTGGATAGGTGCAGTGAAATGTGGTGTTTTACATGGTCAGCCATAGTAGTAGGAGCCCCTGGAGCAAATTAGCATGAAGTGCCTTGCTCAAGGGCACAACATATTTTTCACCTTGTCGGCTCAGACATTCGAACCAGCGACCTTTCGCTGCAGCATGGGTTCGAATCAGGCCCACTGCTATTTCAGCACACTCTCCTCTTTCATCTCTATCTCTGAACCTACAACTAAATGTTCTTTAATAAAGGCCCAGTGCAGTGTTTTATATACATTTCCACACTGTTGGAATATTACTGTGAAATTGTGAAAATGATAACGCCCTTTTAGTGTAAGCCAAATTAACAAGTGGGCACGGTCTTCATTATGGTGTCTTGACAAACTTAACTAACTCGTAAAATATAGCCTACATGTTAAATAAAAAATATAAGGTCAATTCGACATAATTAGCTGTCAAATTAATTTCAGATTTGGTCAAAAATGATGTTTTGCAGAAGGCTTCCTATAGCCTACATTTATATTTGATTTAAGTTTCACAAAATCTAATTGCAATTCCAATCAAGTGTTCATATCTAAAATGCGCTTGGTTCAGAGTTCGAACGTTACAAAATTATCGATCATTTCTAAGCCACACAGAATTAAAGTGATCCCATAGAAATAGGTATAATCAATAGTGGCATACCTACATAGAACTGCTTAAAACGAATTGTCAATATGCCAGTAGTCAGGCCGTTGTAGGCTATAACTAATGTCGTGGCGGACCTTCTGAAGAGCTGACATTATTTGTCAATAATAGATTTGCCAAACAATTAGTCAATAAAATATTGAATGAGCGATTATCACAGCATCGTGAATGATGATGCCAATGATGACTCCTAATTCCTTAAGTGCTGGTGATGGTACCTTGGGCTCTTGGCCAAATTGCGATAACAGCTGGTGCCCGGCCGATACAGACTGGGACCGGACAGCTGGTCAGCGGCGACGTACGCAACACTCCCTCCGACTCCTCAGTCCGGGTTGAAAGCTACTCTACCTGGCGATTGGTGAAATTCAAGCCAACCAAACTTGTGAAATGGCCCCCAACAATTCAAACAAAAGATAATGTGTGTTGGTTAGAAGTCAAGGAATTAGGGATGGCTCAACATTTACATAATGGGTACCTGGAGGAAAATGGGGGGAGGGTCATGCTTTTTCAATTTCAGTCAAGGGGAGGGTTTAGTATTTTCTAAATCTAGTCCAGGGGAGGGTCATGTAGTTTGTAATAGATTAAATTTCAAAATTTCCCAGTGTTTTAGAATTACTTGCTTAAGAGAGAGATTAACCTGATGCCCCCAATCATCTCTGATTCTCCGCTGGGTGCGCAATATCAAGTGCACCTACAGGCTATTTAGTGTGGTCTCAATCAAATGAGCCATAGCATATAGGCTACGAAGGGCCTGCTCGGAGAAACAAAGAGAAGAGTTATATTTCTAAGATAGCTGCTGGGATGGTGTAAATAAAACAATGCCGCATTACAAACTGCAATAGGTATTCTAACCCTGGGCCCCGGCCTGCTCTCCTCTTGCTGATCAAAAAACGTAACAAATGGCTGTTTTGTGTAGGCCTACGGTGTCATTTCAGGAGAGGCAAAGGCTTCTTCCGAAAAAAAAAGAAAAAAAAAAGGATTATGCATAGTCCTAAAAATCTTGCGTGCGGACTAGCCTATAGCCTATGTTGTTCCGTTTGAAAAGGAGAGCATGAACATGAGGAGGACCGGTCAACTTAGATTACTTGCTACTACTATAATTGATTTAATTAAAAACAATATACAGTACATTCGGAAAGTATTCAGACCCCTTGACTTTTTCCATTTTGTTACGTTACAGCCTTATTCTAAAATTGATTAAATAGGTTTTTCCCCTCATCAATCTTCACACAATATCCCATAATGACAAAGCAAAAACAGGTTTTTAAATGTTTACAAATGTATACAAAACTGGTAATGTAACACTTACATAAGTATTCAGACCCTTTACTTAGTACTTTGTTGAAGCACCTTTGGCAGCGATTACAGCCTCGAGTCTTCTTGGGTATGACACTACAAGCTTGGCACACCTGTATTTGGGAAGTTTCTCCCATTCTTCTCTGCAGATCCTCTCAAGCTCTGTCAGGTTGGATAAAGGCCTGATTGGTGGAGTGCTGCAGAGATGGTTGTCTTTCTGGAAGGTTCTCCCATCTCCACAGAGGAACTCTGGAGATCTGTCAGAGTGACCATTGGGATCTTGGTCACCTACCTGACCAAGGCCCTTCTCCTCTGATTGCTCAGTTTGGCTGGGCGGCCAGCTCTAGGAAGAGTCTTGTTGGTTAGAAACGTCTTCCATTTAAGAATGATGGATGCCACTGTGTTCTTGGGAACCTTCAATACTGCAGACATTTTTTAGTACCCTTCCCCAGATCTGTGCCTCGACACAATCCTGTCTCGGAGCTCTACGGACAATTCCTTCGACCTCATGGCTTGGTTTTTGCTCTGACATGCACTGTCAACTGTGGGACCTTATATATACAGGTGTGTGCCTTTCCAAATCATGTCCAATCAATTTACTTTACCACAGGTGGACTCCAATCAAGCTGTAGAAACATCAAGGATGATCAATGGAAACAGGATGCACCGGAGCTCAATTTAGAGTGTCATAGCAAAGGGTCTGAATACTTATGTAAATAAGATGTTTTTTTATTTGTAATAAATTTGCAAAATTTTCTAAAAACCTGTTTTTGCTTTGTCATTATGGGGTATTGTGTGTAGATTGATGAGAAAATGTTTTTATTTAATCAATTTTAGAATAAGGCTGTAACGTAACAAAATGTTGAAAAATGGAAGGGGACTGAATACTTTCCGAATGCACTGTATCTCTCACCCATGATGTAGGCCTATTTATCAGAGTTCTTGACCTCACAATAAGCCAGATTCGAGTAATTTACATTGTGGTGCTGAAACCTGAAGCATCAGCCATGGCACAATCAATCGGAAATTGACAGCTGATGGTGCAGAAAGTAGGCAAATTCAAGTAGGCATAATTCATTTCAATCCTCTAAAATGTAATTAGACTAACAAGAGGGATTTGTGTTGGAGCCTATTTCTTCCTATTTAAGAAATAAGAGATAGGCCTACCTTTGTGACAAACAAAATCAGGTTTTAAGCTGCTATATCCATAGATTTGTCAGTCAATTCCTCCACCCACCATGCACTCTTTAAATGACAGCCCTTCACTGACACAGAGGTAGGTTAAGTTAAGACCAAGACTCGAATTGAATGGGTATGAGAGGGTATGCCATAGGCCTACTTTTTGTGAAAGAAAATGGCAAAAAGCACAGACCTACCCCTTGTTAGCTTTTGAAGAAAATAAAATGGATCCGATGATATAGAGTAATCTATAAAAGCGCTTTGGTCTGCGATGCCTTATGCTAGAGAAACAAGCTGTAACATACTTGGGAAAGACGTGACCCTGATGCATATGGAAATATAATTGTTTAGTTTCTTTGACATTCAGAGGTTGAGTTACAACCTTCTATAGCCGAGGAGACCAAAAATGGACTTCTGTCACTATCAATTTATGACGCTATATACTTTCTGCACACTAGAAGATTTTTAAACCCAGACGGCTTTTAGGCAAACACTAGTGACCTCTCGTTGGTTTAAGCCACAGAAGAGTAGCCAGCAGGTAAAGCTTAAATTTGTCTGTATCGGTAGGCCGACTGTCTGTGTTGGAAAGGTAGGACTAACTTTTGAAAGTACCATGCTCAGATTCCTAATGACATCTCAGGATGAATTATAGGGACAGTTTCATTGCAAACAAGACACACTGATTAGGCATTGGAGAAATATGATAAGATGAACACATAGGCCTATCTCGCTGTCCATTCTTTGCCTGTAATTTCAGTAATTTGTGTGGTATTAAAAAAGATTCTGCTAATATGTAAAATGACATCGAATTGC